ATTTAATCTTGTGCGACGTCTTCGAACAGGAACAGGTTGGCGACTACGACGACACGCTAAGTCTCGCGTTACGATCGTTGACCACCTACGAGACGTCTCTCGCCAAACTTTCCGAGGCTCACGGCATCGACTTTATGGAGAAAAGCTTCACTCGTAGCGACACTCTGTCTACTTCTCGGCCCGAGGAGTCCGGCGCAATGACCGCGATTACGTTGAGCTCGACGGCCGTCGGCGTGGCTGCCGGACTAGGCGTGTATTACTTTACGGCTCACAGGTGAAATATAGTCTTGAGATACTTGTCGTCTCGACCTCTTTCGTCTCCCATCGCTGCCAGTCGAGCCTCCAAAAGGTTCTTACACTCCGTCAATTGCTCCTCTTCTTCTCTCCTCTGTTCGAATCTACAGTGATCCAACACGTTCGCGGCGGCATTATAAGCGTAGCGCAAAACGTCCGCGTCATCCACGTGCTTGGCCAAGACGTGCAGCAAGTGGTCCACGTTGCCCCGTATGGCCGACGCGGCCCTCCGTTCGGCACTGGGAGGCGGCGTGTAGTACATGTGTCCGTGGAACAACTTTCTATCGTCTTCGACATAAAAAGTGTCGTTTCCGAGCAGCGGTCTCACGTATTCTTCTAGGTAGCGTCTACATTCCTTGACTAGTTTGTCGTCTTCCCTTCCGTTTTCGCACAGCAGAGTGAACGTGGCGTAAACGGACATGTTTTTTTATCTAAAACAAAAAATGCCACGTTCCAGGACGTATTGACGTCATACGTAAATCTCACGCGGGAACAGAAACACATACTAGACTCGCAAGTATCCAAAGACGCAGATAACGATCCGGACCGTTATTCGAAAGAGTACGTGTTCTTTGCGTCGCTGCGAGAGGCCCATAGGTTGAATCGAGACATATTGGAAAGTCTGCGACAAAGCAAGGACGGCGTCCCGATCTGCGCCGACGAGTCCTTTTTTCAAAGCTTGCTCGATAGAATAAAGACGGCAAAAGACATTCACGACCACGTATCCAATTGGGGTATGGGACACCTGATGGCCCTGACAGTGAGCGTTCTAGGCCTGCAGCTCGTGGTCACATCGTTAATAGGCTACGGTTACAACGAGTACGTATTGAACAGATACGTACAGCGACAAATACAGGCGTTCGACGATAGAAGAAGAGACATTTCAGAGCGGAGAATCGCCAACCGACCGCTTCCACCGAGACCACAGATAGACAACGAATACGAAACGCTACCGCCCCCTTCGCCATCGGTGTACGACGTTCCGCGTAGTGCGGAATCTCTATACAGCGTTCCACCTCCGCCTCGGCCCGTGCAATAATTTTTCACTAACCTAGACGTATCTATAATAAAAATATAATGGCAGCAGTCGTACCAGGAGGAGGTGGTGGTGGTGGTGGTGCTGGTGCAGGGTCGCCGCCGCTCGCCGCAAATAACAATTAACATTCGTGGGCAAACGGAACTCTGCGTCACGCATATCACCAACCCGGCGCGTGCACGGCCGAGGCCCCGAGTTCCGTCGAACACGTTGTTGAGGTCGTCCTCAGGGGTTCCTTCACGACAAACTACTGGGGTAGTTACGATCGAGACTCGTACGCCGACAACCCGATCGCCTTTAGACCCCACGTACCCAACAAGAGTCTACTCTACCCCTTTTTCAACACGAACGGCGATCCTCACGACGTGCACACGATTCCCTTCTTTCGCGTCTTGTACGCGGTACCCACCTTCTTTCACATTCCCAGAGAAACCCGTCGAATCATCCACGCCGAGAGCGACTGCGTGGAGAACCTGACCGCCAAGTGGCGTCTCACGATGGAACTGGACCCGAACCAAGGAATGCTCCTATTTCGAGTTGGCACGCGCTCCGTCATCGATAACGGATGGGTCCCCTCGCATGCCGTGCCCTTCGATCAAGTATTGGCCCGCATGCTCTTTACCGACGAAATAGAGCCGCACCTCGGCGACCTGCCCTACGATTGGGCTCGCGAGTTTAGGGTAGGCTACGACAAGGCCCTGACTCTGATCCCCAATCACGACGAAATCTTTAGCGCGTGCAAGACGATCCTCAGGTCCCCGTACTTTGCAAATACAAAGATATTTGCGAAGACCCTCAACCCATTCACTTCGAGCAGGTCCTCGGTGTGGGACGCGTCGGCGGCCATCATGCTCCTGGCCGAGCGAGAAGGAGTCTTTTACGTTCCGGCTCTCAAGACCAGACTGGCCGAGCGGTACCCGTCGCACACACTGTACGGAACGGTGATCGACGTAGTGTACTCGTCGGCGACTCACGCGGTGGACAAGAACGTTTTGGGCCGATCGCACTATCACCTGCACGAGACAAAGTCTCTTTCGGACGACGTAGCCGAATGTCTCTTGGACTTTGTCGCTCTTCGCTACGTGTGCAAGGCGTACGCCCTCATGCGCGCCGCAATGGTAGTGTCCAACACCAATCTGCCCCGCCTGCTAAACTCGCAGACGGGCCGGCCCGAAGAATCGTCCACGTCGGTACCGCCGGTGGTGGCCCAACTGTTTCCGCACGCCCTGCCTTTTTTCATCACGGGCGGCAGCGCCGAGAGCGACCTGATGCACATGGAGTACAGCTCGTCGGACCTCTTTCGCTACCTCTACCATTTTGTGGTCACGGACCCGCTCCCCGACACGGACAGGCGCTTTGCCGTGACGAGGCGCGTCGCGGAGCTCTGGCTGCAAAACCTGGCACCGTACGTGATGCGCAGGGTGATTCTCACACACTTTTTACAAGGCACCGCCGACAACATCGAGACGCAGACCAGAGACGATTTCCACTACATGCGCATCATGAACAATTCGCGAAAACTAAACGAAATCATGGTACTAGTCGACGGACTCCGCAAGGCACTCGGCGTGGCATCTTCGATCGATAACGGAATAAACTTGGCCGTGTACGACGGAGACGCGCGGGTGGTCAAAAAATACCTTAGTCATCTGGGTGCCGGCGGGTCGGGCATCACCGACATGGTGGAAACGTACCACTTTCAACTCCCCATACACACGCACAACGGGCAGAGCCAACACTTGGACGCTCGTCTACCCTACGAGAGGGTGGCATTACCCGACTCTATGGAATCCCTCTGGGACAGGCGACCATCGGCACCGACGCAAGGGCGTGCGGCTCCGGCGCCCCCCAACAACAACAACAACAACAACAAATCAGCTTCCCGGGACAACTCGTATTGCCAAACAAACTCATTATTTACGCCGCCAAGGTATCTACCGATTTCGTGGCGTCCCAAGTGGACGAAACGGTCGACTACGGCAGGAGACCTGAGAGAGACTCACCCGGCACCGTTGTCGGGACCGAAAACCCACCGCCGCCTCCTTCTCATTCATCACCAGCTCCGGCAGAGCATAGTGACAAGCCCAACAACGAAGTGTTTTACATGCTTACACTCGGGACGCTAGGAGGATTGCTGCTTGGCAGCGGTGTCGTGAATTACCACCAAACAAAAGAAAAACCAGCGACACCACAAACCAGAATCAATTAAATTTTATTTGTACCGCTTTCGATATATTCGTATTATTTCGTCGCCACTCATTTCCGTAACGGCCTTGCGCTTCCCGTACATCCTACCGGTCGTCTCCGACTGCATCGCGGAAGGGGACTTTGCATCTCGTCGTAGAGTAAACAGGTTTCCGGCCACGTTGCGGGCAAGCAGTCTTGCAAAGGGGGAATCGCTGACGACCAGTCCGTTGACGTGCAGTATCGCGTCGGCGACTTCGGAGCTGTTCTTGCCGAGGCTTTGTGCAATCTTGTACGCCAAGTCTTGGGCGTTGCGATTCTCGAAAGCGTAAGGAGCCATTCTCGCCATCAACTCGGTCATGAAGGTGGAAGAAGAGTCCATAGTGGCCTTGGCAGACGTCCTCGGCAGGACGAAACGACTCCTCTTGGATTGGTGGACGTACAACGAACAAATGGGAATTTCAAAGTTTATTCTCAAGAGAGCCAGCACCCGGACAGAGTTTAGTTTTTGTCGAGGCTGCCGAACTCGTCTTCAACGCACAGGACATGAACCTCAAACACTTGTTGCTCGTCGTCGTACCTGCGGTATATCACGTCTTTTCGCCGACACAGACCATGATGGCGACAAACACGCGCCTCGCCACAAACACCTTTTACAACATGAGAAACGCCCTGATCAAAGTACTCGAATACGTGGCCGTTCAAGCGCCGTCCAGGTGCGTCACGCCGTGCGTGTCCGATCTCGCACACTGCAGTCCCTTTGCCAAGCAACTGCTAGCCGACTGGAACCGCGTGTACCGTCAGCGTAAGTACGACGACGAAGGCGACGACGAGTGTCTGGATCTTCAGATCAGGTGCAGATTCATTGAGGCGCTGGGCTACGCGATCAAGGGCGACGTCGTCGACGTGACCGTTTGGCATCAAAGACAAGATTACCAATCTAATGCTCCAATTCCTGTACGACGGCACCCTCGACATTTGGGACCAATATAGGCACGTGTGCGACATCAATCGACAGAGGAGAGAATTAAATCACATGTTTGATTACGCGAATCGGTGTTTCGAAATCCTATGCGAGGTAAAGTCGTGGATCAAGGGACATCGTCTGGTCGAGGCCTTCAAGGACCTGTGCGGAGCCAACCCCCGCAAGAGCTTCCGAGACTTGGAAAGCGTGGTGTCTCTCCTCCAAGACCTGGACGCCTTTGAAATTCGAGACGTAGCCGAGCAAGCGGACGGAGTTCTCGCCGACACGAGCCGTCACTTAAACTGCGCCGAGATGGACTTTAGCCAGTCCGTCAAAGAGTACGCTGCGCAAGTATCGCTCGACGATTTTGTCAGAAACGAGGCCGAATACGCCAAGCTATACTTTCGAGTCGTTCACGATTTCTACTGGCGGCACAAGCAAAAGATGGCCAACGTCAATTACACTTACTGTCTCGACAATCTCAAGGTAGACGGAGCCGATGACCCCTATTATCCCCTGCAGAAACCGATCGAAGAGCTCGTCGAGGTCATGAAGTCTCTCGCGGCTCGACACGTAGAGTACAAACGGGTCTACTTTTCTCGAAATTGTCCCTGTAAACGGAACCGCCCAGAGCAGCAAGACGATGAACAAGACCGATGTTATCTATTTGACCTCAACGAGTACGCCGAGTGCCAGGAAACGGCATCCGTCCTCGAACTACACTCGATCCTCGGCTACTGCGATTCGGACGACTGCCGCTGCAAAACGGACGAACTCCTGTACAGCAAACACCTGTTGTACAAACAAAAGCGCTGTCACTTTTGGTTCATAGAACTCGTGTTGGAATTTCCCGTACGCGAGCACGTTCTGAATCTGGAATACACCAGATTGTAGATGGGCAAGGAGGGGTGGGACAAATATCGTCACGGAGATTTTGGGTCGTAAAATTCAAAGTCGTCCTCTTTTTCCTCCACGACGACGACCTTGCTGGTGTTTTGCAAGACGCCCACGTGCGAAATGTCGAGACCAAATGCAAAGTTGGTTGAAGTCCAGCCCCTCTTGCGTTCTTCGCACAGCGCCGACTTGACGAGCACCTTTTTGGGGTTCTCGAAACAGGCCGCCGAGAGGCGATCTCTCGACTTGCCAATGTACGATCGATTCAGAGAAGCAATTTTGTTTGGGTCTCGCGTCAGCATGTTGATGTACAAACGAATGCAGGCCAATAAAACGTTATCCTTGTTCGAATCGGCATCCAACACGTTCTTGAGACTTTTGTACAGGTGAGAATAGATGCGCCTGTTTGTTCGACACAATACAAACAGCGAAGACATGTGATCCAGTGGATCGATATAGTCTAGGTTCTTCAAGACCCACCGGGTAAACTGAGGGCACAGGTTGTTGGTAAAGTACTCTTGCGGAATGACAAAGACCAACTGCTCGTCTTCCGTCAAAAGGGCGCAGTCCAACAACTTTTCAACCACCACATCGCATCCGCTAAAGTCGACGGCGACCTCGTTCGCGAGACGAAAGTAGACCGGATTAAAGTCGCCGTTCTTGACCCTCTTGCCGTTAAACAGGGTGTACACAATCTGCTTGCCCTGATCGAGGGCGTCCACTTGCAGGCGCGACCGACCGGCCGCCCTCTGCCTAAACACCTGGATCGCGTTTTCACAGTCTCCTTCGCGCTCGTCGGGCTTGAGGTCCCCGTCCTTCACGTTGCGCATCAGATCTTTACAGGCCTTTTCTCGATTGTGCGAAGAGTCTAGATAGTCTTGGGTGAGTGGAGAGGTGAGAGAGAGAGAGAGATTTTGGGGGTTTATGGCGCAATAGCTACGAGGCCATCTGCGCCAAACTAATTGAAGGTTTGTACTATAAAACAGGTTTTACAAAACGGCTAACCAAAAAGCTATAATCGGTATAAAAGGCCAATACTACCAAGAAATTCTATTACTCGTTCAAAAGAGACCAGAGGATTCTCTCCCAGAAAGAGAGCAGGATGAAATGGGATATGATGTTGAAAAAATTCAGGGAAATGAATGCGGCGCTTGGGCTCAAGACCAGGGCACAACCACAAGATATGCAAAACAGTGAGCCTATCACCACACTGATCGCAGACTGGTGGATCTTCTCCCGAAAGCAGATGCCTATGGGTTACAAAAGAGTGTCCGATTCTCAGACGGCACAACAACGTTTCATGGAGTCGGCTCTTGCATGAAGAGCTTTCCCAAACTCCCAAAGCCGGTTTGGTAACATGAAGCTTGTTACCACACTCCATGTCCCATTCCAATTGCCAAGAATGAAGAATTGAGGACTTTACCAAGGGCTTAATATCTTGATAGGGTAAACAGGACAGAGATTGTGGAAGGTTACCGGCAGACCCTGCAAGCTTGTCGGCTTCTTCATTGCCATGTATGCCAATGTGACTGGGTACCCAACAAAATTTTATATTTTGACCTCCATGCAAAGCAGTGTTAAGTTTATATTGAATCTGTTGTACAAGCATATTTTTAGTGTCTTTAAGAGAGCAAACTGCAAGAATCACACTTTGAGAGTCAACAAACAGGACCGCCCTCAGTATTTTCCTATTGATAATGCATTCGATCGCCATTGATACCGCATAGAGTTCCGCCGTAAAAATGCTGGCGACACAATCGAGTCGTTGAACCTTGGAAAAGCGTTCTGAATACACAGCGCAACCGACAAAAGAAGAAGTCTTGGCACCATCTGTATAAACATGAAGATAACCATCATACTTAGTTTGCAGTTCACCAAACTCTTGCATAATTACAGCTTGGGAAATGCCGTGCTTGTTGAACTTCGCAAGAGACCAGTCAGATTCAACTCGCTGTGCTTTCCAAGGTGGAATACCGTTGACTTTCCTAATGAGGCCGACCTGGCCCAGAGGAAGGTGCAGAGAAGTGCGAAGATGTTCAATACGGAAGCTTAACGGAGTCACAATGCTTGGTTTATTTTCAAAAAGGCGAAAGAACCTTGACCTTGTAAGTGAAGAGTATGTCGGATGCTGGGGGTCGGCCAGAATCTTATAAGCATATGTTAGACTAAGATATGTACGTCGTTTGTTCAGGGACAGCTCATTGGATTCTGCATACAAACTGAGGACGGGCGATGTTCGAAAGGCTCCTGTTGCCAGTCGCAAGCCGAGATGGTGAACTGGGTCCAACATTTTAAGGGCAGAAGGCCGAGCCGATCCATACACTATTGCACCGTAGTCAAGACGGGATCGTACAAGGGCGTTGTATAACTGCAGGATACATTTTCTATCAGACCCCCAAGACTTGTGAGATAAAACTTTCAAAAGGTTTGTGGACTGAAGGCATTTTTGCTTCAGAGCTTTAAGGTGGGAAATAAAGTTAAGCTTTTTATCAAATATTACACCAAGAAACCGGTGCTCCTTTTTAACTGGAATAGGTGTTCCATTTAATTTCAGGGAGGGATCCAAAGACAGCCCGCGTCGCAAAGAAAAAGGAACACAGACCGTTTTTGAAGCAGAGAACTTGAACCCATTTTCGTCGGCCCACTTGGACAATTTGTTTATGGCTAACTGCAACTGGCGCTCACAACTAGAAAGGTTACAGGACGATGATGAAATCTGTATATCATCAGCATAAAGAGAATACGAAATAGATGGTGGCAGCAGTCGTGCGAGTGAATTCATTGTCAGCAAAAACAAAGTCACACTTAAAACACCCCCTTGAGGGACTCCATTTTCTTGAACAAAGGAGTCAGATAGGGCTGAGCCGAGACGAACTTGGAAAGTCCTGTCTGTCAGATATTCCTTTATGCTTCGTAGCATACGGCCCCGGATATTACAGGCATACAGGTTTCGGAGAATCCCATACCTCCATGCTGTGTCATACGCCCTTTCTAAGTCGAAAAAAACCGCAACACAGTGCTGCCTGTTTACAAATGCCTCACGTATCACAGTCTCCAGGCGAACTAAGTGGTCAAGGGTAGATCGACCTTGGCGAAATCCACATTGATTGTTATCAAAGACCCTCTGGCTTTCTAACATGTAGACCAGTCGCCTGTTTATAAGCCTTTCATATGTTTTCCCAAGGCAGCTTGTGAGTGCAATTGGGCGATAGCTTGATGGTTGTGAGGGGTCTTTGTTAGGCTTTAGGAGGGGGATGATATGTGCGTGTTTCCAAGCCTGAGGGAAACATGCCTTTTCCCACAAAAGATTAAAAAACAGGAGAAGGTTTTCAAGGGATTCTGTAGAAAGGCGGCGCAGCATTTCATAATGGATTCCATCGGGACCAGGGGCAGAGAGCTTTCTCACATTAAGAGCCATCTCAAGCTCGCATCGCGTAAATGGTTGGTTATACGATGCCGAGTTTCCTCCTGACATGACAAGCTTTTGTCGTTCCGCACGAACTTTTAACTGTCCGAAGGAAACACTGTAGTTGGCCGAACTAGATGAATTATAAAAATGTTCCCCGAGTATGTTACCAATATCTTTTAGAGACGAAGAAGGAGCATTAAACGTTGGAATGGCAAAGCACCTGTAATCCCCATTTACTTTCCTGTATCTGTCCCAGGCCTCCTTGGCTGGGACAAAGCTGGTTAAAGAAGAGAGATACTTCATCCACGACTTCCGCTTTGCCTGCTTCCTAGTCCAACGAGCCTTGGCTTTTCGTCGCTTGAACTCAACAAGGTTGCTTGAAGTGGGGTACCTGCGAAATCTGCCCCACGCCCTATTTTGGTCCGCCCGGGTTGTGGCACACTCCTTATTCCACCAAGGTTTACATTTTTTGGGTATATTACCAGATGTTTGGGGAATGGACTGCTGAGCAGCCTTTAGTATCTGCTCAGTAACATAAAGTGTAGCGTTCTCAGGGGACATAGACGAAAGAAGCGAAGGATCCAAAGTGGAGTGAAGATTAAAAAGTGCCCAGTCTGCCTTGTCTAACTTCCACCTAGGAACCCGCTTTAAAAGATTAGGCAATGGAACGGTACTTTCTAAAACAACTGGATAATGATCACTTCCAAAAGGGTTATGGAGAACCTTCCATGAAAAGCAAGGAAGTAATGAAGGTGAAGCGATAGAAAGATCAATAGATGTGAATGTGTTGTGTGCCGCACTAAAAAAAAGTTGGCTCTCTCCTGTTAAGAAGGCACAGCCCAGAAGACAATAAAAGACGTTCAATTACACCACCACGGGAGTCCTGACGGGTACTACCCCACATGGGATGATGAGCGTTAAAATCACCTAAAATTAAAAACGGTTGAGGAAGCTGTCCAACAAGTCCCTGCAGCTCTTGAAGATTTAAAGGAACATTTGGCGGTAAGTATAAAGAAACAAGCGTTACAAGGCGGTCCACGAGGAGACGCACTGCAACTGCCTCCAGAGGTGTGCGGAGTGGGACTTGAGAGCAAGCGACTCCACTCTGCACAACTACTGCAACGCCACCTGAAGGAGTGGAAGCGGGACGGTCTTTCCTGAAAACCTGATGGCGCCTTAAAATGTTAAAAGAATTAGAGTGAAGATGGGTTTCTTGCAAGGCAAGAGCGATGGGTCGAAGCTCATCCATGAAATGATTGACATCATCAATATTTCTTAAAATACCGCGACAGTTCCATTGCATAAAATGTAACTTCGTCATCTATTAAAAAAGTGTGTAAATATGTAAATATAAGAAGATAAAACCTGGTAAAATAAATAAAGCTATGGAGAGCCAACTTGAGCTAGGTGGAATATGTGACCACAATACGGCAGCTATTGGGGTCATCACTTGGGCGCTACTACAGGTTGTTTCTTTTTAGATTTACGAGAAGCTGTCTCCCATTCCATACCATCCTGGTCGGACCCAGGAGTAGACTGACTGTCAGCATCAGTTGGTATCTCCATGTCCTGCGAAGTGTCCGATGGATGG